TGGCTCCAGAGCAGCCCAGCAGGGGGGGCTGGCCACCTGGAGCGCAGCCCGGGCTCCACCCACCCCGCAGAGCACAGCCCGGCAGTGGGCGGCTGGGGGTAGCCTCCCGGACTACAGCCCAGCCCAGCCCACCCCACACAGATCTGGCGGCACACGCCCACTCCCATGCCCTCTTGGACCACTAGTGAGGGCCGCCAGAGGAGCCACCAGAAGAGCAGCTCCTGAACCGGCGGTACGCAGCAGCACACAGTGGCAGGAGCCCCCCTGCCCAAGTCCTGTGCCTCCCCTGCCCCGGCTGGGCAGCTTGTCCCAGCCTGAATCCCTCCCTCGCTGTGGGGGCGTTGATCTGCCCCACCTACCCACGCTTGTTCCCTCCCCTCTCCGCCCACCATAACAGGCTTACCAGCTGGAGGCAACTGTGTCCAGCATTGTAAATTCAACACCCCCCCCGGTCAGAACCTGGTGCAAGCCTTTCAAATCTCTCCGAATTGATTCAGAGGCTTCCGATTAGATTCAGACCTTACCTTTTAATGGGTCTCCTGATTCGATTCGTATTCGGAGATTCAGCCACTAAATCGAGCCAAATCTCCTCCGAATTGAATCAGCTACTGAAGCTTCACACAGCCCTACTTTTACATCTGACAGCTAAATTTTCCAAAGGTTCCTTCCCTACTCTGGCTATGAGCCCCAGATCACCTGCTTCTCACACTGCTGCTCCTATGATTGTCTTGTGTCCTGCCACCTTAACCAGCTGCACATTAGTGATTCTGGTTCAGTGCAAGAGAAAAATCAAAATCAGACAGAGCTCCTATTAATGACCCTCTCTAAAGATCTGGGAACTCCTTGATGGTTGAATCTACCAAGCTTACACTGTTTCCTCCTGCTACTGATCTACTGAAGGACTGAGCACTCACAGCTGCAGTGCACACCAATAGGAGCTGTGCATTGGAAATATAAACAAGCTATGCAACACTAACCACTCTGAAAAACCAGGGTCGGAAGCATTTGAAATTGGGCATCTGAAATTAGCGGAAACCTCTAACCTTTGTTCCTTTAGCTTTCCACCTGTAAACATGGGGATAATACCTCCTCCTCCTCACCTCACAGAGGTGCTGTCTAGATAAAGAAAATCATGCTTGTGAAGGATTCTGATGATGCAGCAATGAGCACTACAGGAACTCCCATGAGGAAATAAAACAAATTTATCTTCAGAGGAGGGTTTGAATAGTGTTCAGCAATTAAGGCTTTGCAGCATACACTGGACAGCAAGACAGAACAAACCCTGGAATAGCTACCCATTAGATGAGCACAGTCTCTCTTATGTACAGAATGAGGTAAAGAAAACCAGCAGGTGATCTTGTAATTAAAGACTGTAGCATAATGCATAAGGCACAAGAGCCCTGCATTAAGATTGCACAGGCACCCTTAATTCTGACATTTCCTAACTTTGGAGTCCTTGACATTACAACCTTGATGGAATTCTTTTAACATTGTTTTTTGAGGTAGGATTAGTTTTTATACACCCATGTGCATGCTGAATTTAGCTTAGTTAGCATACTTCAAAAGCTGGTACTGCACTGCCTGAGCACCCCAAAGAATGCATGTTTCAGAGGACAAGCTCTGGAGACCCAGGACACTCCCAGCATTTAATGCAGCCCATATGCTCTCAGCTTTACTGCACACAGTCACATACCATGTGGTTGATGCTAGTGAATGGCGTGTTGTCTGTAATGGTTTCAAAAGGTGACCTGGCTCCATTCCCATCCGTGGGGGTTGCCACTTCCCAGCTGAACTGGATTGAAGACTGGTTGATCCCAGCTTCATCACAGCGCTCCTTCATGACGGTGTACTTGGGGAAGTGCGGATCGCAAGGCGTTACACAGATCAGTGGATAGCCTGGTGAAGGGGATTTCTTCACACCCTCTTTGGTCACTTCCTCCACATGGTCATAGTCTGCCAGGGTAACTACCTGCAGGGATGCAAAACAGCAGAATTCACCTGGGAAACAAAATTAAAGGTTTTGGGTGCACTGTAAATGTTTACTTCATAAATCCCACTGTGGGCACCATTGTAAGAGGGGATGGGAGATGTATGTGAAACCAGCAGGAAAATGTGGAGCTGCAAGTCCCTGAGAGCTGCCATTGTGGAGCATCCTAGGCTATTTTATAAGTTGTGACAGGCCATATTATTTCAATCCTAAATCCCTCATTATAGATCTCATGTAATGCCTGAAGTGCAGCCACATGACTCAAGCAGAAACTATTTGCTAACATCCTGAGACCCAAGTCCTACTTCAGCCCAGCTGTTAACGTTTCAACTCACAGGATTTAGGTTCTATGCAGAATACAGTGAGTGGGATCCTCTCATTGCAATACTACTCAAACTTTGTTTGGACATTGCAATGAAAGAAGGAAGACTGGGTGAGGAACCAATTAGTGTGCAGGCTGTCCTTGGTCCAAACCAACATAACAGCGCACTGTCAAAGCAACAGCTACACTCAGCGTGCTGTCTCTGGGAAATGACTCCAGGATCTCTGGATCTAAGATTGCGAGCCTCAGAAGCTTGAGCTAAAGGATGAGCTCTGATACTTGGAGGCAGTAGACACAGAAACCTCTGTAAGTGATGGGCCCATTATGATAAGTGCTTGCCCATATTACTCCTTTACTCATTTTTTCCTGTTGGCAAGGTTCAGCCTCTCTTCCTCAATATGCAGTTGTAGACTCTTCAGTTGTAGCACAACTGAAATGGCACTAAGGGCCTGGACAAACATATGCTTGGAGCGATTTCAAAAGGGAAGGGAAGCTCCTTTTCAGGAGGACGCAGCAGCTGCTACACTCTACCTCTTCTTTCGCCTGGCTTAAAGTTGCAGTGATTTAGCTTGCTTATGTTGCTCCTGGCCCACACACACATAGAAGTTAAAGTTGGAATGATTTTGCTACATTCGTATAGCTACAGGCTCCAGCATGCCTAGCAGTTACAATACAAGAGCTGCTGTGTGGTCTGGAGCAGAATTTCTCCCTTTACTTTTGAAACTGCTCCAAGTGTACATTTTCCCATCCTCTGCAGCCTGACTCTACAGCATGCTTACTCAGGAGTGGGTGCAGAAAAGATGTACCAGCCTGTTCACCCATTGACCTGTTGGCCTGCTTCCCACCCCACCTGCTCCAATTCACCCTGACCCTCCATGCATCCAAGAAGGGAAGCCGGGAGGTGGAGAGGGTATATCTACATTAGAATTCTAAGCCCAAGTTAAACAGTCAGGCAAGAAGGTATCATCCTTGGGACAACTACTAGTGTTGACAGGTAGTAACAAATACCTGGGGAGTCTCCAGGCTGAATTTTAAGAAGACTTTTAGCACCTCAACTTAACTGGCTTTCATCTAACTCAAAATGAAATACTGGGTGCATCTACACATGCAAATGCTCTAGGATGGGTTTACTGTAGAGCAGGGGTGGGCAAAATAAGGCCCACAGGCCGGATCCAGCCTGCCAAGCACTTTCATCTGGCCTGTGAGTGCCCGCCAACTAACTGTACCCCGCCCAGCCCTTCTGCCCATGAAGGTGGGAGCAAGGCACCCATGTATACACCCCTCCCAATATACCCTATGGCACCTTACTCCCACCCTTGTGGGCAGAAGGGACTGCCCCACCTAATAGCAGCTTCTGGGAGAGACTGCTGCAGCCACCAGGGCACCTGCTCAGCTTCCCTGGGGTCCTTCTCTCTCTGGATAGCAGGTAGAGAAGGGCCGGGGGTAGGGGGGAGCTACAGAGCATGGGGCTGGTGGCAGCATGAAGTCCGTGCCCAGGAGGTGGTAGGAGTGTGGAGCTCAGGTGGGCACGGTATGGGTGTGAGAGATCATGGCGTGGTGTGGGGACCCCCCCACACCGTACCCCCATCACGCACACAGCCCCTGCCAGTGGCAGCAGGAGTACCAGCAGGTGGCAGGTGTTCGTGCCTGGCGCAAATGCTGCCACCCAACAGCACGTGGCGCTGGCCAGTGCTTTATGCATGGGTGAGGAGCACAGCCTAGCCAAGCCGCCTCCATTATGCAGCACTCCCCATGTGCGCATGCAGCTCCCACACTTGCACGACTTGGGAGGGAAGCTCTAGGCACTGGAGCCCACTGCCTTCCCCACCTCCTGCCATGCATGTCCCAAGACTCCGCAGGGAAGCAGGGACCAGGGCTCCCCTCTACTTCCAGCAGAGTTCTGGGACCTGCGCAGCAGGAGGCAGGGACGGCAGCTGGTTCCAGCACCTGGAGCTTCCCTCCTGTGCCATGCAAGTGCTGGGAGCTGCACATGAGTGCGGGGAATCCCGGCAATAGAGACGGCCCAGCTGGGCTGCGCTCCTCATCCCCATGTGTGGCACTGGCTGGAGATGCATGCCACCAAGTAGAAGTGCCTGTGCTGGGCACAAGCACCTGCCACCCGCTGGTACTCCTGCTTCCACCGACGGGGGCTGTGTGTGCCATGGGGGGGAAGGGTTTGGGGGTCCGCACATCCCGCCATGATCCCTCACGCCCCACAAAAGCCATACACCCACAACCCCCCCATGTAGCATGAACTGAACTAATGTAGCTAATGTTAACATAGTGTAATAATAGTAAAATATAACCATGTTAGTCTTGTCCTGTAAGCAACTTGAAAACTCCATTTTGTATCCTTCTGCTTGATGTAAGTGAATGAAGTCTGCATAGCCTTTATGTATGAGTGTGTGTAAAGGGGTGAATGGTGAGAGAATGGCATAGAGATGGAAAAAGAAGATTTAACTGTTTATGTAAGCAACAAGGCGCCAAATGTAAGTTACCAGTCAGTAAACTAACTAATGAATGGCTGAGGAATCCCTTTGAAGCTCGAGGGCACAAAGGAAATAACAGAAAAAAAAAAAATCTTGCCAGACAGGCAGCAAGAACACTCCAAGGCTAAAATAAGCTGAAGACAAAAGAAGAACAACCGCAAAAACAGAAGCTGGATATGGAAAAACCCCAAAGCACTAAAACAAAGGATGACAATCCCTATAAAAGAACACTTTGAAAATGCCAAGTGGGGTGAGTTTCACTACTGCTGTTTCATCGGAGCACAGATGCATCTGTTCACCCAACTCCAGCTGTTATTTTAAATCTGCTATCTTCAAATCATCATCATCTACTCAATAAGCCGGGGTTGGCCACCCTGGGCTGATATTGAGCAACTATTGCTGGTAACTAGATCTGGTGTATGTGTGGATGAAATGGTTGTTTTGTGTATGTGTATGCCTGTATGTAATGATGTGTATGATGATTTGTGTGTGTTTGTATGAACGGTGTGCCTGAACCTCTAAGTCTAACTCATGTAATCAATAAACGCAGCACCTTGCCTTATCCCCCTTTATAAAGTCTCGCTCGTGATTTGAGCAATTGGTGATTTGTGTAACACCCACATATATACCGCCCAACATACCCTATTGCCCCCCACACACCTCCCCACCATACATCACCCCACCCACACCCCCCTACATGCAATATACAAGACTAAGACTTTATTTTTGAGTTAACATGCAATCATCTCTATATACACTATATAAACACAATTCATGACAAAAATATTTTTTGTAATAAAATTAAAATATCTTATAGTAGGTGTTTGACTGTTAGTGTATGATTTGGTTTTCTCCCCTCCCAAAAAGAGTATTTCCAGGGACTTCCAGTGGCAAAGGTCAGGGGTTAGGGATGGGACTTCTGGTCTCAAGATTACAACTGGGGGTGGGGCTACCCACGCAGCCTTCAACAACTCACTGACCCCCTGCAGCAGGGAGCTCCCAGCCCCTGCTCCACAATCACAGTTGTGGGGCCCAGGGTGGGAGATTCTTATCTCAGAGCTCTGCAATTGTGGAGCTAGAGCTGGGACATAAGAATCTCCCAGAGCCTGCTCCCCAGACACAGTCTCGAAGCGGAGGTGGAGAGGTAAGAATCACCCAGGCCCCGCTCCCCGATTGCAATCACAAAACATAGGCTTGGAGCTCCCTGCTGCAGGGGCAGGGGGACATTGTCCCTGCCCAGGCTCCAGTGGCGGAGCCCACCCTTGCAGCAGACAGCTCCCGAGGACAGGGAGCAATCTCCTGCCCCCTGCTGCCTGGGAGCACATTTGCAACCAGTAGGCTGTCTACACATGCACTACTGTGCAGTAAGTAATCGGGAGTAAATTTGCTACTTGTATTTAAAGGTAGGAAATTTACAGTAAGCATCTGCACATGTAGACAGCAGTGCTTACTGTGCAGCAATTTGCTCTAATCTCAAGTAAAGCGCCCACTGTCTAGCAAAAACAAGCTCAGGCCACTCTGCCAGGTAAAATGAGCTGCTGCTTTCTATGCTCTCCTTTTTCTATGATTCCCACATGGCATAGCTCTCATATCTGGCAACTTACGATGGGAGGAGCTGGCAAAATAAGGCTCCCTGCTGCCTCCTGATCCAAAATAGTCACTATCGCAGTGGCGGTGTCTCCAAGAACAGCTTCCACTGGATCGTCAGGGCCCAGCACCAGAGAAAAGGACTCATGCCACTCCCGGTCTTCGTTGGACATAATCTCCACCTTAAACAGGATGTGGTCCACACCTGCATGAAAAGCCACAAGAAAGACTGAGATAACTTGATTTATCACCTGACCTTACTGTAAAGTATCCCATAAAACTGCTTGGTTGGCTTAGATCAGGACCACTGAAACATTATGTTAAAATACAGATTTCATCTCAGCACATTCACTTGTAATGATTTAACCCTATTCCATCCAGGAAGCCCATTCCATAAATAAAACACAAGGGAGGACAACTGATCTGACTGATCACTCGGCAGATTTACTAGCAGTTCCCTTATGAGGATTAATAGTGCTTGTCTTCTATTAGCTGACAGCAATAAAAATTTATGATCCAAAATATATCCCTTTCTCTTATGTGGGTGTCTGCTTTAACTCTTTCACTGTGATATTCAGAGCTGTGGATGAAAGCCTGATGGATCCCTATAGCGTGACTAATGTTGCTCTGTAAGGGTTTCTGCAAAGTTCTATATACACAGGTACTGTGAGGAGCCTGTGCTCCTAGCTGACAGCATTCCCTTACCTATTACAAATCACCCTGGGTGCAATAGCTCATCCTTACAGTGCATTTTTAGGTCACAAAATTATATCCACAGTGGAATGCAAGATTGCATCCATGAGAGTCCCACTGACTTTAATGGCACCCACATGGCTAAAGCCATATGCAACATAGTCTGAATTTATTATAGGAAAAAAT